GGAGACACAAAACAGCCTTGCAGTATTTATATCCAGTGCACTCTTGCTAACAGAAGTCATCTGTTTATAGGGAAGCCCCAAGAAAAATAAATGCTATGAAATGCTGGTCAGATACTTACCCCTATCTGAAACACAAAAGTTATATCTAACCAACATGGCTAGGATACAGGGCATAGTCTTCCTCAATCAAGAGAGTTTGGGTTCTAGCTGTCACCCATCTCTGATAACCAATAAAAATGGAATTTAACACCTCAACATGGCACCGGATTCAAGAAAGCATTCTCATTATTGGAACTATCTTGCTTAGTCAAAGATATTATGGATGCATTAGAACATTTCATCTGATAGTGGTACAAAGAAAGTGAATGCCTGCACAGCAATTGTCTTTGCTTGGCAGTTAACTGACTGTTTCCATATGGAAGTGAAACCTAAATCATAATTTCTGTTTATAGTATTACAATATTTTTTTTTGCTCCTGAGCTTTGGGGTCTTCCCCTGACAGTCACTCATGGAGAAAGCTTTTCCTTCTCACAGATAATCAGCCTCTCTCCCTTGTGCATAAAAGATCATTCTATTTTTGTAAGGTTATTTAATTTCAAGTCCTTATTTTATGCTAGGTTTAGAGAGGCCGACATTAGCCCCATGACCAAAGAAATCCATTGTTTTCCACTATGTGATTATTAGGTGAGAGAGACACATGTCTGCATATGTGACTGATGCCTTAAGTACTTAGAGCACCACATGTTTCAATTTATAAAAGCATTTCTTAGGTAAGATGGCTGATCTTTTAATTGCACTTTATTCATGAAAAAATCACTTGTGGAGTAGTGCAAGACTTCTGTGGATCTGATCAACTAGGTCAGGGGTAAGCAACCTTGGCTCTTTTATGACTCGTGGACTTCAACTCCCCGAATTCCTGAGCCAGCCATGCTGAGGGGAAAGGGAGAGGTTTCCAAGCTGAGCCATGCTGGCTCAGGAATTCTGGGAGTTGAAGTCCACGAGTCATAAAAGAGCCAAAGTTGCCTACCCCTGAACTAGATGATTTCTATTTGCACAGCCTTCATGATCAGACAAAATTCAATTATCAAAATATCTCTTTTTTCACTACTCAGTAAAGATAGCTGCTGATTAAGATTGCCCTTGGTTGCAGTTTTAGTCCGGTCATCCATGGCACCTCCTGGGGGAAACATTAAATAATCAATGTTTCCGTTCCAAACTTTTAGAGGCTTGGTAGAAGACAGAATGGTGCTTAAAGATCATTGAGGTGTTCGGAATGCCTTCACTGTCTAAACAAATCAGCCCCAAACTTCTCTGCTGGTAAAGTTACAATATAAATTTTATTGTGGTGGTAATGCTCTGAAGCAGGGGTCTTCAAACTTGGCCCTTTTATGACTTGTGGACTTCAACTCCCAGAATTCTTCAGCCAGCGTGCTGAGGAATTCTGGGAGTTGAAATCCACAAGTCATAAAAGGGCCAAGTTGGAAAACCCACAGCCCACAGTCAAAACCATATTCCCAGCCTTCTCCTACATACATATAGTCATCACATTCCCTTTTAAGCTAAGCAATATTATGCAGAGTACAGGAAAGAGATAAGAAATAATAAAAGGAAAGGAGGGAAGGAAAAATAGTTTGCGAATTAATAATATTCATTATAATTCTCTACACCTTTTCATCTCTTCAAACAGTTCCTCTTCCTACCCCATCTATGTATTAATTCAGGCACTCCCTTTTGAACTTATTTCTCTTCTGGATTTTCAGGATTTCATCAATTCCACCCAATTCCATTTTCCTCTCTTCTCATTTCATTCCATTTTCTTCATGCATTTGCTTTTCAGTCCACCCCTTGTTCATTCTGTCTATAGACCAACCGATTGCAATGCATCTTTTTTATACCTGTGAGTCATGTTATATATAGTCTATATAATTCAGCACTCATCCATCTTTAATTTTCTTCATGGTTTACCACAGACACTTCCCTCTCCATTCAGTTTACTTTTATATTTCTTTGGATATACCCAGCTCTCATGTTTTGTAACAAGGTGGGCAAAATTTTATTCTTATACACATACATTTTTCTTTGGAAATAATAATTTCTCAGAACAGACTATGTATTATATATTATCGACTACCATTCTACTATCATTTGCCCATCCTAACATTTTTCCATCAATTTTTCCCTCTTTAATAAACAAACTGTCACAGTACACAAGAAAATGTTTATATTCTATTTAGGTATAACATGCAATCATTCACCCCATTTTTCTTGTCAGCTACAAATACCTTTGCTTTTGATATATAAATTTTCAGATCCATATTTCTTTTTGCATCATACAATTTAATATTCATGGCAAATCTTTCAGGTTTTCAACCAACAACATGGTGTTACCTTCATACAAAAATGTACATTCATGCACCTAGCCCAAAAGTCTGTAATATCATCAAAACAGCCTTGATACATTTATACATCAATCCTTTAAGCAACCAAGTGGTCATACCCTGCTCAGCGTTGAATCTACACATCCTGTTTATCCTTGCAGGTAGCTTAATTCCAGCATATACCTCTCTTATCACATTCAGGAACCAATCTGCAATGCTACATTAACATAAAATGTTCTATACTTTCAGCCTATTAATTGTATCATATATTTAATAAATCACCTTGAGTTCTGAGTAGGGCAGTTCAGAAACACAGGTAATGAATAAATCATACACTTTCTGTAGTCCGGTAAGGAGAAGGGCGGGATAAAAATTGAATAAAATAAAAATAAATAAATAAAATAAATGTATAATAAATGTATCAAATTCATGCATTTCTTGCTCACTGTCTTACTCAATGGCAATTGCTGAAATATTCTGTTGCTGTGCAAAGTATTCTGGAGCCCTATGTGACTTTGGGCCAAATCCTCTCACAGGATTGTTGTTGTGGAGAAAATAGGATTAGGAAGGAGTATTGTGTGTGTTGAGTTATTTATAAAAAAAAACAATAAAGGTAGGATATTAAATAAATAAATAAATTGGGAAAAACATACAGCAGATGGAGTTCTTCTTTTCATTCTTGTTAGAGGGCAATGAAAATATAAGAAAAGCCATGCTAGACTAAACCAAAGGCCTTCCAGGTACAGCCTGGTTCAGCATTCTTTTCCCCCTGGGAGATACCACTGGAGAATCCTTGGTGGAAATCAATATCATCTCATCAGTCACATGAGATGTGATGAATCTGTAGCTCTCTAGATACTGATGGGCAACTCTCAGGAATTAGAAATGAAAGCAGAATCTGCAGGGAATGGTAGCTCAGTAAGATGTGGATGGGGAAGGCTATATGTTAGTAGTTGTTCAGTGGTTCTCAACCTTTTCTTTACCATGGGCCCCCTTTAAATACCTTTTGTGGCCATGGGCCACGGCTATGGACCACCAAGACTTAACTCAAGATTTAAATCATAATATTTTTTTTCAAGCCTTTGTGGACGCCTGTGACAACATTGTGGCCCCACAGGGTCCACAGACAAAAGGTTGAGAACCACTGTGTTAGCATATAGTCATTGGAATAATAGCCGTAGTTTGACTGTTGATTAAATATGTCATGGCAATGGTGACAAATGAAATCACAAACGATTGTAAGGAACAAAAATGTGGATGGAAAAGAGCAAGATACTTTCAGAAGTGTTGAGTTATTGGTCATAAGACTTGCTATAGTCTGAATCCTAATGGTAAACCCTAAATAGATTATAATACACTAATTCACTCTAGCTTTTCAATAGAAATAGCTTCTAAATGCTCGATCCTAATAAAAAAAGAAATAATATTCTCCAAGAATAACATAGGAATCAACTAAAGTGAGCATTTAATCATTAATGAAGACCATGATTCCATTTTTAACAAGCAAATCATGTTAATGTTGAGTGGATTTCCCCATTAATATCTCCAACCCTCTTAGGATCAGGCTTAAAAATTGTTGTTAATTTTGTCTATTTAATGTATTTTCATTCTTCTTTTCAGTAAAACCTCAGAGGCAGTAGTGAACCAAAATTGAAACTATTTGTTTAACAACAGGGTTAAAACAAAGGCAAAAGGAAGCCAGTAATAAAGCCTAATTCAGCTTTACATACCTTCAAACCTAATCAGAAAATCTACAACAGTGGTATTTCCACATGCTCCTCTCCGAAATCTTGATGCACGCTACCCATGCTATCGTTTAATAGGATACCACTAAAAATATTGTGGTGTCCTTAGATTAAGAGGAGGATTCTCTTAGAATAAACTTCTTAATCAAGGAGGACCTCAAACACTGAACCCTCTAGGACTAAAGATGTTATCTAGTCTGGTAACAAAATGTCTCCAAGAAAATATTCAAGCTCCGAGAGCACCAATGACTCCACAGTTACTAAACTTTACAATGGATCAAAGAGATACTAGTGTCAAATTTATTTTTTAAAAAATATCAAAATAACATTGGCACCTTGACCACCTGACTCCCAGAAGGCAACAAGAGCTGTTTCAGTATTCTAACTGGATTAGAATCCCAAGATTTAAATTGACCCATATTTCTAGTAACACCTTGGAGTTGTCCTTTGTCCTACGTATAACTATCACAGTTTTCTAATTCAAAAATGGGGAGGGGGGAAGCCTCTTTAAACAATGGGAATCAGTATAGCTTCCTTTCAAGGACATTAGCAAGTCCCTCCCTGAAGGAAGCTTCATGTCTTTGGCCTAATCCAACTTAATTAGTTGTATGCTATTATTCATAAAGTGCAAGTGACAGTCACAGATGAATAGATAGGCAAATCATCCATATCCTTAAAGAACAGTGAGCTTCTTTTGAAGAACATTGGTGAAAGGAAGCCAATGCCATGTCTGTCATGGCAGATTTAACATCAGATAGATTGATTCAGAAGGCCCACAGGGAGGTTCAACAAAGTCAAAATGGCAGATGCAACCACACAACCAAAACCTCTTTTAATGTTCATTGCATAGCTCTTATAGATACCAGAAAAGGATGGTAGCTCAATTGCACTTGCCATCTTAATTTTTTGAGCTACTATGCATGGCCCTGAACTGACTGGAGGCAAATAAGAAACTCAAATGGATCATACATTGGGGAAATGGTGCTTTGTCCTGCTTACTGTGGGCCCAGACATTTACATTATAAGTAACTCCCTAACTAGTTTTTTTTAAATGTAATGCCAGATTACCCTTACGAATGCAGTATTAGAAAGAAAATTTTAGCCATATTTAAACGCAAGTCCTATAATCTCCAAACAGGGCAGTGACTACAAAGGTATTGTAATCCAATCTATGTGAAGGCCACAAAAATGGAGAAGACAGATAAAAACCAGTTGGCATAACAACAGTATTAGAAACAGAAACTACTTATGTTATGCTTTGCTGACATTAATTTATCAATGTGACTTCCCAAAAAATTAAGGACAAACTGAAATTATTTAGAAAATGCCATCTTGGAACAATAATGGAAAGGACATCTGTGAATCGTACATGGGTATAAGGAAAGTGGGATAGAAACACTTGTATCCAATAAATAAATTGCTTGGATTGTCAATCTATAAGTTCATTTGCATCAAGCTAGTGAGAACTGTTAGACAAAAAAAGCACACACAGCTTTCATTTGTTGACTGATTCAATCACATTGATATAGCCGCCCATCCCACATTCAAAATAATAACCTAAATATATAAAAAACATTAAAACAACCAATTTGAATTAAAAAAACAAAGTAAAAGAAATAAAAAAAACAAAATAGCAGTAAAATATCCCTAAGATGCTTTCCATTAATTGTCATGCATGGCATCTAGCAGGTTGTACTATCATGTTATCCCCAAGCTGGTTCACAAAACCATGTTTCAAGGGCTGTCCAGAAAGCCAGCAAGGTTGCTGCCAGTCTTATGGAAGGGTAGAGGGGAAGAAGTAGAATCTGTAGCTGTTCCAGTCATAACATTTTCCCTTTCCTACCTTACAAACCTAGAATGTGGATAGGATTGACTGCACAGAATTTATTACAAGCTCCAAACTACTCCCTGGCTGTTGGCTGACATGCGGTATAGTTTACTTACATATTTTTCATCAAAAACAGACAACCCCACTATCCATGTCAGAAAACAGTGTCTTTCCCACCATTGTTGAATTGCCTCAGACATGACACAGAAATGCACCATATGTTTATACATGTTGTTGAATGTTAGGCAGGACTTCATTGTAGGGAAGTAAGATTCTGTTTTGATTTATTTATAGAAATGAAGAGATTAACATTCTTACCAGTTGATTGCTGTACCAATATAATGATGAAGCCTTCAGGACACACCAAAACTTTTTCCATTTGTTGCCAATAAAGCCTCCTTTTTCCTTTTTTTTATACAGCCATCCCTGACAATCAGCCAGTCCGAGATCCTTACATGAGATCCTTCGGCGACTCATGCTGTAAACACCTGTGCAATTAGAAGCAAGTGTCACTTTAAAAACAACAACAACAACAACAACAACAAAACAAACAAAAATACTATTTTTTTCTTGTAAATACACCCTAGGATTTTCAGGATATGAACAGTGTCACTTTTTTAAAAAAACAAAACAAGCAAAATACTATTTTTTTTTCTTTTAAATAATACACCCTAGGATTTTCAGGGTATGAATAGTTCACCAAGTTAAATTAGTAAAAGTGACGCTTTTAGAAATATCCCACAGAATGAGAAATATATTTCCAATGAAGATCAACTACTAATTTTTACTCTTAGAGATCTCTCCAACAAGTATTAATATATGGCTAAAGTATCCTTCAAAGCTGATTTGCCTCAAAATTATTTGTCACAGCTGATAAGACATTTATCTTGTTTCACATACACATACACACAGAGAGAGAGATACACACACACCATTATTTACATACCAAAGCAGTTTAGTACAAATGAAGAGCATGTCATTGTTTTCCGCTCTTAATCAAACCAAAAACTGAACAGAGTACGATATAGCAGTCACCGCCGCCGCCACCACCACAAGCTGATTTGAAAAGCCCTCAGTTTCACACGAGCAAGATATCAACGTAAACAAAAAGAGGAACAAAGCAGACTCAGTACCTTGATTTTTCTTCCTCGTCTTCTGACGCAAAGGGATCTGCAAGGCACGCAGAAAAGAAAGAAAAGAGGAAATTTCAGTTGGTGTTGTAACATTTGCAGAGGACAGAGGAGGAGGAGGAGGAGGAGGAGGAGGAGGAGGAGGAGATGGAGGTAGAGCTTGCTATAGAATGCAACCTTTCAAACATGCTCGCCACACAGCAAATGGGAAAGCCAGGAGCTGAAGCATAACATGCTGTAATTAAAATTGATTCATGTGGAGCTCCTAGAGAAAAAGTACTGCGTTCTTCTGTCTCTTTCAGTACAGCTTCCTGTTTCACACCTGCAGCAAGCTAGTCTGTGTTAAGGGTAGTTAGATACAGGAACACAAACCAAAAGCAGCCATCTGAAAATGAAGCTTTGCAGCTTTATATCGGTCCCTAATATTCAAAGGGTAAAAGCAAGTATGGTGAGAATGTGTGTCCAGGACTCAAAGGTATGTAAAGTATGAAAACCTGCACATGGCATAACTACCAGCAATCTTTGTATCACTCGGCAGCCATTCCCATGGCAGAGCTTGGCAAACGGCAAAGAATCAGGGGAAGGAGAGACTCAGCCTAAATTTTTGTCACTAGTTCGTACCACAACATAGCCAAGTTAATCCTACAAAATCAATGAGACTTAAATATGAAGGTTCAACCGACAAACATCACCCAGTGAATCCTTCCTTACGGACTAGCAGATAAATATATGAATCATCTCTAGTGGAAGTAGTGTGGTTACAGTGATCATGTATTTGTAGATTTTGAACTGGAATGAACTTCTACTCACTGGTGTGTTACACAGCTGGTCATTCACATATTTAATCAATGTAAGTATGCAAAGTTCTACGTTCTTTGCTCAACCCTGGCAATAAAGGGTACTATGCTTCACTTTAGTATCTCAATTCACCATCCTTTGTCTTATTATTGAATTTTTTAAAATTTTAAATAGATGTGCATGGAAGTGATTTCCCCATAACATAATGCATTTTATTTTGGTGGCTTTCTTTAATATATGCACTGTGTGTTATAACTTGAGAAAGAGCAAATATTGGCACAACATGTCTCTGGGCTAAGGTCCTACAATTTAAATGACATTGACAAAAGTTATACTTGGGTTTGATATCCAATGGTCTTCCACTAGGGCAGGAGATTCCTGAATTGTCTTGCAAGAATAACTTGCCTTCTTCCGAACCCATTGTCCATTTTGAGTTTCCTCTCACATCATTCATTCATACCCAAACTACCATTTTCCATTCCCAGGTGTGTGCTATGCCAGCTCTCACTTGCTTTTGTGTCTGTAAATTCTGTTAAGTCCCCAGAGCTATTTGCCAATAGTGCCTCTTTAGTCTACCATTGATATTTCATATTATAACATGCATTCTTACCTGAAGCCTCAGCCACACAACTAAGCATCTCCACATGTTGAATTTGCCCTATAAGCAACCTGTCACATGCCCATACTGCAGCTTGCTAGAAATGTGGGCCTACTTGAAAGCTGAGTGGCAGGGATAGCCAAGATGCCTTTGATCACCTCTGTGTGAACAGCCACTGCATCTGTTCTTGATAAGGTCCTGTCTGGCTATGGTGACACATGCCTTAGTTGCATCTAGATCCAATTGTTGGAATGTGCTCTGCCTTGGGCTTCCTTTGCATCTTTGGGAACTGGAATTGGTTCCGACCATAGCAGAAAAAGTGGAAGTCAGGATCATATTACCTGATCCAGCAAGGCTCTATTAGATACTCTGTTTGTTTGTTTCTGGGCACTATTATTGATAATGAGCTTTAAAGTCCAAAAAAATGACAGCTGAGATAATCCTCCCTCCTTAAATATTAGCCTGACCACAGCTTAAGATCTGATGGTGGTGGCATAATTTAGTGTGGAAAAGAAAAGGACCTACTTACTATCTATGGTGATTCTCAGTCATCCACGTCATGATTGTCCCAAAGGTGCTTTTTCATGAGGCAACTGGGCTTTCTTTTTTCTCTTTGAAGATGTTTTGCTTCTCATCCAAGAAGCTTCTTGGATGAGAAGCAAAATGTTTTCAAAGAGAAAAAAGAAAGTCCAGTTGCCTCATGAAAAAGCACCTTTGGGACGACCTACTCACTGATCACACCTAAATTATGAAGCTCTCATCTCAGACACAACTGGCACCTCACTCTGCTTATCTGATTTTGCTGGCCTCAAGTACTGCAAATTTTCCTTGAATCTTAAAATAGAAAGACCAACATCAACACACTGCAGACTACAATTAGCACATTTCTTAAGTTAAAAGTTCAGCTGCAGTGAGCAAGACAGAAGGATTAGCAGCTTTGAGACAGGTCTGCCTGAACTGAAGCTTAAGAGAAAGACTTTAGAATCCATGCAGATAAATACATTAAACTTGGATGTATTGTTCTCACTAGCTGAACCCTAAGGTCTATTTCTGAGGTCTTTCTTCGTGGATCCGTACCTAGTGAGGCAAGAGGGGTGGCCACAAGGGAAGTTCAATAGTGATTCCTCCTCCCCCCACCCTGCCATCTGTGAACTGAATCATGTTGGACACTTTTCTGAAAGACCTTTTTAATCTATGAGGCATTTGAAGAAAATTTCTTAAGCATTTCAACTATTATTTCTCCTGATGGGTTTATTATTATTTTAACTTCTGTTAACTATTACTGCTGTTTTTGTTTTATCTTGATTTGCTTTACTTTCTTTCTTTTCTGTTAAATACTTGTACACTTTCAGGGAACTGTAATCAACCAACCAACTAAGAAATAAAACCTGAACAGAAGTTCAGAAACTCTCTCAAAGTGTAATCTTTTCTTAGAATCAAAGTGTTAGAATGGAGGCAGAAAATTATTTCTCCCAGGATGGAGGTATGGAGCTAGTCCATCGCATTTCAAATTACTTCAGTCAAAAGATTTGAGCAATAATTATGATTTGGGGTGCACATAGGTGAGCAATCTCATGGACAAGGCCAAAATATTCCAAGCTTTTTGCTATTTTGTGGTAATTTAAAGCATTCGTTTTGCTCCTTAAAAGCAAGAAGAGAGTTTTCAAGGGTGCCTTATATATCTTAGGTGTCCATTTTGTATCTTAACCTCTTCAAAACATGGGAAGTTGGAAACACATATGAAGTGCTGGAGGTGGCATAAGATCCATAAAGGCAGAAGTTACTTTGATTTTATTGAATGGGAGATTAGAATCTCATCTCACTCAAGGTAAATTAAAATGTTTCAGATGGGAATTGATCTGCCCCCTTCCTTGGGAAACTATCACATCATCTCTGTCTCAAACACTGTGTCGAAAGCACAATGCTGTCTCATCATCATCCTGCTAATGAGCGAACAACACACTACATTGTGACAGGAGCAACAGGGATGTCAACAGGGATGAAAATTTGCAACATCATAGCCAGAAATTGTTCTTTCACCCAGTTTTAGTTGCCCCATGAAAATGTATTTGAATTACTACACGTACTAACGGTAGCAAGAATTGTATTTGCCCAACATTGGAAAAATGAAAACTTACCAGCTGAAGAAGTACTAATTAAGAAAATTCTAGAGTGTGCAGAAATGGTTAGATTGACTTTAAAGATAAAAGAGAAAGAAGACTCAGTGTACTTTAGAACATGGGATAATTTCTATCAATGGCTAGAAAGACGAATTAGAGAGAAAGGAATGTGATATGTAATTTTGAATATATATTAGCAAGATTGAGTGATTAATTAACATATTGTTTATGATAATTAACTACTTTCTATTATTGTTTGTTAAATACAGGAACCCAGACATTATGCTGTTTGCTAAATATTGAGAATGTTACTTGGAAAAACCCCAACCCTAACCCTAACCTTAATCCTAACCCTAACCTAAATCCCAACCCCAACCCCGACCCCACCTTATTCCTAACCCCATAAAACTAATAAAATCTATACAAAAATGTATTTGAATTTAGCCCTGATCTATGTGAATTCTTTTTCAAAAACTATTTATAGAATGTTAAGATCACACTTTCAGGGATTTCTTTAAAATCTACAATTTAAAATAAACAGTTGAATTTACTTAACCTGAGGGAGATCATTGTTACAGAAATTTTTAATGTATTACCAAATAAAAGTGAATTGGCACAAAAAAGGGCATCTGATGCCAAAGACACACACACACACTTTGTTGATGCCAAATGTACTCCCCTTTGGAAGATCCTCTAAAATTGGCTGCAATTCCTGAGATCTTTTTGTCATTCTCACAAACAGAATAAAAAGATTAGCTTCCCCTGATAATCTCAATGCACAGAGTTGATATGGAAGGAAGGACTCTTTTAGATGTATGCCTCATCTATTAGCTTTAAAAGCATACAAATAGGCAGCAAATATAGCTCCTTCAGAACTAACGTAACATGGATCATCTAGATAGATCAGCTGTTAAGATGTCAATATCAGTTCTATTGCTAGCTGAAACTTCTAGATCACTTCCAACAAGTAGAATGATTTTTAATCCAATCTACGAGAATAATAATTATTACTATAGCCAGACTCTATGTAATCTATAAATGACCCAGCAGATGGATTGATCCAATGTTCAAACCAAATAGACTGTTATGTAAGTCAGAAATGACAGAATACGGTGGAACTTCAAGCCTTCTATGCTATGGGTTTAAGCAGAATTCCCACAGCACTACTTTTTAAAATTGACTTTGCAGGTAATAAATAATGAAACTGTTTTGACACTGAGCCTGGACACATAAAACAGAGCTTAGAGCACACAATGGTTATATACTGCATGTCCCTCTCCCTCTGTTTGGAAAGACAATGATAAAAGTAATAGGTAGGTAGGTAGGTAGGTAGGTAGGTAGGTAGGTAGATAGATAGATAGATAGATAGATAGATAGATAGATAGATAGATAGATAGATAGATAGATAGATAGATAGATAGATAGATAGATAGATAGATAGATAGATAACCTTTATTGTCATTTTTTACTGTGGGCACAATGGCATACTAAAATGAAATTTAGTTGCTTGCTCTCAAAGTGTAAACATACATAACAATATTTAAACATACTATATACAACATATGTATAGACCTATAAATACGTTAC